AAGCTTCACGGTACATGATATTGTTCAGCTTTGTATTGTTTGGCAGTGTGTAAAATGATAGCAGACCAAATTGTTGCACCTGCCCGTTATTACAGATGAAAGCAATATCCTCTTTAGGTCGGCTTAGCTTACTTTTTTTTAGGTATCTTCAAAGCCTACAAAATTCTTGGTTCACTTGACCTTGTTCGTTCGTCAAATTAGGCTCTTGAAGAATTATTAACAGCATCCGTGTCATATTATGCATGGTTTACATGACTGTCTGTTAAATTATTTGACAGTGAACAGTAAAGTGAAATTTTAAAAAATTCTTGAGAAAATGTCAATTTACGTTGCTTGGAAAAGAACCTCAAGATACGTTTCGAAAAACTACCTCCAAAGGGATTTAGAGATTTTATATGATCCAGAAATTTATTTTCTCATATTAACCCGTAAAGTAATCTTTTTTTTTTGATGGGTTCCCCCTATGACGTCTTTGCCTTGCAAATATCCGCCTCGTCGCTTGCCATTTTTTATCAATTCAGCGATTTCTTAAAGTTAACTTGATTGGGACAATTGATTTATCATTTTGTGGCTCTGAAGAAACAAAATATGGCTTGGCTTCCTTTTAGTCTTATTAATACACTACTCCACACAATATTTGTTATGAATTTATTCGTCTTCTTTAACACGGAAACAATGCAAGGCCTGGTCTATTTGTAAACATTAAGGCATTCAACCTTTTCGTATCGGCATATTTCCCGAACCCATGCAAAAAAACAACAAACTCACTAATAAATTTTTGATATCAGAGCAAGCCCAAGTTTCTTACTCCATCGAATGTGTGCTCTTTTTATTTCCTAAAATAAATGCAGAAGAGTTAATTTGTTTTATTCCACTCAAAATATATTCCACCCCGCTCGTGGCAGCAGCTAATTGAATCTCGTGTCAACTGAGCAATATCGTAAGAGCACCACTTTTTTATCGCCTCAAATTTAAGACGAAAACAAGCAGAGAAATCAAAAGATAAAATACAGAAATGAAAATCAATTTCTGGTTAATATTTGTGGTATTTCGGAATTATTTCATAATTATTTCATCGAGTAAAGAAATAATTGATTTATTTTTTGGCCGACTGAGTGATTTTACTGTTAATCAGTTTAAGTCCAGTATATCAAAGAAAAAAAATCGTTGCCGCCCATATTATTAAAATCGTAATGGACTTTTTAATTTAAGGTAAGTCAATTTAAATTTCTGTATTATTTGTTGCTGTCTGTAAATAAAACTGCAGTCGAAGCTAGCGTACGCAAAACACTGAAAGTACAAAAGTACGAGACTTAACACACACCTCGTAAATGATTTCCTTGCGAAATGTTCACGAATAAAGAAAACTAAACCCATAACTGCTGACAATCTACAGGAGAAAAACACCAAAAAACAAAAAACCAAAATGAAAAACAATCATAATTTCTAAATCCATTTATACATGATATTGCTTCTCATTTTCTTGAGTAATAGACAGGTGTTCGCAAAGCTTGTAGAATTTGCACTGTTTGCATGGCCAGAGTGTGTAAAAAGAGGTCAACCAGTACCCTAAATCTCTTTCAAACTGTTAATTAGATAAGCATAATAGTCGTATTGAAAAGAACCTTTTGCTGCTTGCAAAACAAAACAGTTGAACATAAAATGGCTACTTGAAACTGCACTTTGCGGCTGCCAAATGGAAATTTGTAACGTTGCATTTTAGGGAACGTTCAGAGGAAAACGTCCTGTAAAGTAAACATTCTTCAAAATCTCCTTACCTACCAAAATTCTTTACCTACAGTGCAAGGCATAAGTAACTATTGCTTTAGCAGAACATTCTAATTAGAAAGAAAGAAAAACCATTTTAGCATCAACGATCGTAGAAAAACGACAGGTTTTTAAAGCAGCCGAAGATTTTTGAGGCTCACGGCGTTATGGGAGATATTGCAATGTTCAGTGCGAAGGTGAAAGGTTCTCTGCAATATTTCAAATAATGCTATGTATCGAAGAAATCATCTATTACAATATCCATGCTCGTGAAATCCCTTTTTTCTCTTTCTTCTCCTGTATTATATCTTCGATTTTAGAGGGTTTGTTTGGAATTTTGAATTCTGTCTAACGATAAAACAAAATATTTACCTGCAAATAATTTCTTCCTATCTTCTCCTCTTGCATGGAGTGGAAATGGATCTTGAGGAGGAGCAAATGCTCGTTATGTCAGCCCCCCTCTCACGTTGTGTGAAGGTCACATGACCAAGCAGACCAGGTTCCGTCCTATTGTTTCTTTGTTAGTTAAGAGGCATTCTGCAAAAGCGGTCCAGTCCATCTGGCTTGAAAGATAGATTTCGCTCATTTCCTATGTGTTGCGCGACAGTCATGTACTTATACTAAACTTGAACCAAAATTTGATTGATTAGATCTTTTAAAGTTTTCACGTTTTAGGAAATTTTCTATCCGCCCGAGCAAAGGCCCGTGAAGTCCATTGTCAACACCAAAATTTAACACATCTATCTTTGGGGATCAATTAAACAGGAAAAAAATCTGTGCACAAAACAAACACCACTCTCACATATAATATGTCTTCATAATGTTTGAGACCGACTTTTAGAATAATTGAGCTAGAATTAAGCCATGCATCAGCGGGACTAAAGGACGTTCGCACTAATTGTTTTTGCGCATCCTTACTACGCAAGCAAATTTACAGGCTACGTCATGCACGAGAGCGCGCGCTGAACAATGATAGGGCAGATGGCCATTGCTATAGCTTTGCCTGGATTTAACGATCTTGGACATTCAGTTACTCCTATTTTTCTTTTTTCTTTAAATGTCTATGTTTAGCAAAAAGAAAAATGAAGAAAACTATCGATTAGAGTTTGAATTTTTTGGCAAATTGCGCCGTCGAATTCCGTTCTTTTTAGCTCTTCATTTATCCGTGCGGCGGTTTCAAATGTCTCTTGAACGGTTAAGTTTTGTGAAAACGTTGGCAACATTTGGAATTTCTTACGCAACAGACCCACTTCTACCAAATATGACTAAGATCGTTTGCCTCCGTTGACTCACCTTCGATGTACGTGAAGTAGACTGCTTTTCGGAACATCGGCAAGAAAAAAATATGATTATTAACGATAAAAAAAACAGGGAGCTCTTTAAGAGAACTCACTGAGAATCACGCGAAGGAACACAGGTTTAAGGTACGAGCAAAGTCGTAGAAGACAACAAAAGTACAATGTAACTTAAGATACGGAAGGTACAAGGGAACTGACCGTTGACGTAACACTCCCGAACACGTAGATAAACGAATACAGAATGGGTGGCAATGCAGGCAAAATTCACTGGACTCGTAAGGATTGCATCTCGACCCTATTAGAAATTTCAGAAGAGAGGGTTGTGGTAATGCGAGCCAAATTCGTTAAGAACGCACTGGGAACGCATGGTTAAGAGCGATGGGAAACGTACAGAGCGAACGCAGGAGGAAACCCTCATAAGAAGCAGTAAAAGTAAGACTACCACAAGAGGAAAAGAATGGGAAAACGCATTGCCAACGAAAACGAAATGTAGCAGGAAACCCTCGAGGTGGTGAAACGCATAGAAAATGAGTGGCAATGCCAGCTAAATTTACTGGAGGCTACATGGAATTCTTATAGAAAGGTACTAGGAAAAGAAAGGGAAATCGATTGGAAAGGTACAAGGGAAGGCAGGAAAACGCGCAGATTAATGTACGAGGAAAGTCTTAGGAGAGCCCAAGAGTAACGCTCGGGGAAGATAGGAGGGGAGGCCGCCGGAACATGGAAAAAATCACATGCATGCATGCACGATTGGTGTAATGCAAGAAGGAAAGGCAGGACCAACCGAAAGACCTCATATTGGTAAAATAGGCATGTGATGTTGTCTAAAATCAGAACTCAAAACACATAAAAAACACACAAAACAACAAACACAAACGACGCAAATATGACGTTACTTCAATTTATTAACATGATATGCTGACTTTACGATACTTAAATATTTACAATACTCATATCAATAAGAAGTTTACATAATCTTCATGACTTGAGACCACAAGAACAGAGAATGGCGTGTCTGTAGTAACACGGAATGTAGACACCAAAAAATTTTTTCCACCTTTTCATACGATCACTTCGCTTGGATGAACGGTCCACATCATCCAACCAACACTGAAAAAAGTAGGATTCAGCTCTCAAAGTTAATGTCCATTCCGAGCTTGAGAAATATTATTCACTACCAATCTAATAAGGTTTTACATTCAGTCTCATTCTAATTAAACAATGGAGTGTTTCTGGGGAGGAACTATCGGCTGATAGTTGCCCTGCGGAAACTTGATGTTCTCAAAGGAAATATTTGCCCGAGAAGCGAAGCTTCGAAGACAAATATGCTAGTTTTAAGAGCATCAAACTTCCAAGAGGCAACTATCAGGCCGGTAGTTCCGTGACATAAACACTCCATTGTCTTTATTGTTCACCACTAAATTTTGTTCGGCTCGCCATTTCAAAAATCATATTGAATTATTTTTAACTTTTTCAGGCGTGAAAGCTAAATGTAAAATTTGAAAAAGAAAACAGACAAATTGCGTCTTTCATTTTTTCCTATAAGCAGGCTTGTGTACAGAAAAATTTTCACGGACGAGCATTATCCATCCGGTTATTTTCCTTGGACGGTCACGATGGGCAGATTGTGTCCCTACGTCAATGAACACTATCGCGTCAAGTGATCAATTTAAACCAATAAGAATAGGAGAAAATTCAGTGTTGAACTATAATATTTAACACATCTCTAGAAAACTACGTAAAATATGAGATACAGAAATGTTGATAATGTATATGCCTTCCACAAGAGGGTAAGAAAACGTTAAAGGAGCTACCTCACGGCTTTTGCATCTTGAAAAGTTCTATATTTTTCAAATTCGGCAGTTGTAATCCTTGTCAATCTTCTCCATCCTAAACCATCCTTGTTCCTTTATGGTTTATTATCATTTCTTTGGTGTTTTTCTATCTTAGTAAACTTAAGGTTATTTTGTACCTGGCCAAAATACCGTGACTTAGCTCATTTAAATTGCAACTACTAACTGCTCGAGTACGATAAATTGGGATGCGAATGGGTGAGTGTAAATGGCGAGCTGATAGTTCTTCGACCCCAATCCAAACAGTAAACCAAATCAGTTGTAAGTACACAGATTCTCGGGACAGACTCGATTTCTTTTCGTGAATGAAAACGCTACTTGCAAAAAGATGAAGCATAGCTGACTACACATTGTTTTTAAAATTTGTTTGCAGTGTATACTGAATCTCTTGCTTACAAATCGTATAATCGTATATACTGTGTGGAACTAAATTTTTGCAGGCTCTGATTTTTGCGATTTATCCGTTTTTTTTCCATGATCAGCAAAAAAATAGGTTCCCGCAAAAAAAACTTCAGGAAAAAATTTCCTCCGCAAAAATTTACTCCACTGGCGAAATTATACGCACAAACATCACAAGTAGATTCTTGTTGCTGCCATTCATTTAAAACGTCTCTTTCGTTCAGAAACTAAACGATGAAATGAGAAACACGTTCAGAAATAATAAAAAAAGGTTTACAGGAAAGGATTGTCTGAAGGCACTCCAATGAGAAGAACACTACATTTTCGCACAAGAGCAAGATATAAATGGGATAGAGTGACCCTGATTACTGAATTACTGTGTTTTATATCTATGCGCTTGTTTTCACTTGTCAGTTGCTTGCAGTTAAATTAATAAATCCGAAATTGTACTTTCAATTAAACGGGACTTCCCGAAAATCACAAATATGAATACCCAGCAAGAAAAACCAGTCCTTTACCGGCAATCGCAAAGATTAGTTCCCACAAAACAAACAACAAAAAAAGATGATCAAATGAAATACGTGTAAATTGGGATTAACTCCCTATTTTCCTTTTAAAGTTCTGTCATCTGAATGTTATATTCTTCTGTTACGCAAGGTGAATTTCTTGTTGTGGAATAAAGTTCAGTTTGAGTCTTGGAAGTCAAAACGGGCTGTGACTTGCCCCACGGGTCCTTCATGAACAATGAGAAGGCCTTGCGAAACCTAAAAATTGAAAAATATAATACTTCAAATGTTTGCGTGAAATGAGTTAGACTTATATAATCTTAGGTCTAACAACAGCCTGAGCAATATTATTAAGTAAATTATCAGAGAGAATAAATAGGTTTACGAACAACGGCTCAAGATAGTACAATTTTTTTTAACTTAGGAAGGAATTTCGACTATTTATCTAGAGCAATTTTCATTATAATTTCCTTGAAGTAGATAAAAGAAAAAAGAAAAAAAGAGGCGGAGGTAAGTTTTGCTAATAAGGTATTGAGCATTGCACTGGATATTTTTACACTCTAACATGAGCTAAAAGGTGCGATTCCCGAGCCATTTTTACGATGACTCAAAATTAGCTGACACAAAAGAACTGGTTGTCCTTTGGCAACTGAAAATCCTAGAGTGATTTCACTCAGCCTGTGAAACAGCTACTATACAAATTAGAAACCAATAGACACTAATTCTATAATCGATAAAAGTGCCGTTTTTTGTCACTGACTTGTATATTTTAGCAAGATGTTTCGGCTAACTCTTAAGCCTTCATCAGTTGAAAAAACTAAGTGCGTCCCAAGCTCTTGTAGACTTCAGGGATGACTATGTGATCATTCCCAGCGTTCGGGTCTTTTACAGACATCCAAGCTTCTAGAAAAAGCCGCTGATGGTAATGTGCCTCATGTCCGACGACTTCAACGTTTTCAAAATCCATGTGATGATGACATTCGTGGACATGGCACGCAAGTTTGGAGTTATGATCGAACATCAAGACAGCCTTTTTGTGCTCGGAAACCCGCATCTCCAGTGATCTTTCGGTCTGGCCATAGTATACAAAATCGCACTGACTGAAATTGATTCTGTACACTACTCCAGATGATGGACGGTTGGTTTCATCCTGCTGTTTAGACACTAATTCTATTGTTTTTTATTGGCTTTGTTTGGCTATTTTGCACTAAATGGTTGTTGTTTTCCACGGGTTAACATTGACATAATCACCATGCATTTGCCACTGATAGAGTTACAACACGGTGATGTTTGTTTGTTTTTTTTGCTATTTCCCGCCTCGATTTATGATTGTTTGGAAATTATAACGTTAAGTTTTTGCCACTTCATTAGTTTCAAGTTTTTCTGTTGATTCTCAGATGTCTAAACTTGTCTTTTATACAAGGTCGACGCCCTCGTACTTGAGCGTCGCACTTTCTTTTAGTTACTCTATTAAATAGACTCGAAAATAGAACGCACCTTTTTGATTCTCCAATTTGATTAGACGATGAAATCCACGGGAAAGTTAAAACAAAGTTTTGTTTCAATATACGGGGAAATTGGTAGTTTTTCCTGAATAAAATATGCTTCGACAATAGGCCAAATTCGATATGTTGAAATTCTAACCTAACCAAGCCTCGGCACCAAGTTAGAATTTTAAAATATCGAAATTGACCTATTATTGAAGACAAGAGAAATATCATGCTATAAAGAAACATGACCTTATTTTTTAACTGATTGAAACCCCAGTTTTCAACGCTAGCTTTCGATTTATCTATTTATTCATTATCTGTTTTGTTGTTTTCTTAACCACTGCATTTACCTTGGAGTCTTGAGTGAGTAAATAATTGGATTCGCCATGCTGTTGAGGTGCGTGAGGAAAAACGCAAGGAAATGAGGCCATGAACCGTGAATTCTTGCGATGTTGTGTAACAACATCGGGAAGACGCCCATGCAGAAAAATGCCGCTACTGTCAAACCGATCGTCTTGGCGGTCTTCACATCATTTTTAACTTGCTTTCCCCCAGAACAGAACGTCGAGATCCGTCTGCTATGGATGTGCACAGTGCGCCAAATGGCAACCCCCATCACGAGCATGATCGTGAATGGAACCAGATAACCGGGAATTATAAAATGTCGTCCAAATTTCTTTAAATACTGTATCCTGTACACCAGCACTGGAGCGTCACCAAGATGAATGTCGAGCCCTAAGATGAACATGCCATATGTATAGGCAGCGGCCAGGAGCCAAACACACAACACTGCTACTTTTGCCTTGTTGATTGTTTTCCACGAGTGGTAGTGAATGCCGTGCACGATGGCTCCATAGCGATCCATTGTTAGAACGGTGAGGTTAAACACGGTTAGATACATAAACAGTACGTACCAAGTCACGATAAACCACGAGACTGCCTGTCCCTTGAGGTACGGCACTTTACAGATGTACCACATGATCATAAGAGGCATATTGGTCAGTGCATTGAGAATGTCTATGACAGCTAAGTTCGCGATCAAAATATTCGGCACTGTTCGCAGAGTCTTAAACCGGACGAGTAAAAGGCAAATTATACTGTTCCCGATTATCGATCCAACCATAACCAGGGTGATCATTACAATGTGCGATATTTTCTCCACATCATGACAAGAACTCATCTGGATTGTCCCGTTCATCGCCCAAAATCTGTGCACAGTGAACAGTTGCAAACTCGCTGCAAACGTTCGGCTGACGGACTTGCTATCTTTGCAGGTAAATTCCAAACGTACCAACCGCCTATTCGGTACGAGGTTCTCCTAAGAATGTATTTCTGCTCGTTTTCGGGTCAAAAATGGTCCCTTGGAAACAAGGAAACTGGTTAATTGTCAGTTCCTGAAAACAATTTACGTATTGTGCACTGGGATTGTGCAGTGAACTGGCAGTTTTGCGTTCCAATCTTCTTGCATAGAAGCAACACAGTAAACAAAATAGCGAGATTTCTCCAAGGCAGCTGAAAAAGATAAACAAGATAGCGTTTTCAATTAATTTTGGCGGTCTGTGTTCTACTTTACTCTCGTCTGTTGACAGAATATTTATATTTGGACGACTCTGTAGGTGAGTGGCGTCATAGAAAATTACTTTTTTAACCTCAAGATAGACTATCGGTTGGAATTATTGTGCCTTAAAGACAAACCAGCAGAGGGAACTGAAAGAGAAAGAAAGAAACGTCATGGGAAGTGCTATTTCATTTTTCAACAAACCTTTTGACGCATGACTGATTGTGTAACCGATAATGAAAGGAAAAAAAGCGGAGGCGGACTCGTGCCCAAAGGTGATATAAATTATTAAAGTGAATCAATTTTGACTGAGTAGTCAAATGGATAATGTCAAATGAGATTTCTGAAAGAAAATGAAACTAACTTTAGCAATACCTAACAGATACTTTTTTGAAGAACGCCTCAACTAATTTTCACATTTTTAATGAACATAATTTGTCAAGTGTCTTAGGTACTGCTAATTGTCTGCGGCCCAACATCAAGAGTTGCATTTAACATTCGAATACGCGAAAATCGTTTTGTACGTCTTCGTAAAAACATAAATCAAAATGTCCTACCTGCAGGAAAAAACTGCCTGTAGAACCTCACTCTCTCTGAAAGGACATTGGGGCAAAGAAAACGGAAAAGTAAATCCTTAATCTTCAATTCAGACAGCAGACCTTTTTAAGACTGAGGGTGTTTTTATTACCGGGCCTCACAGACTTTGCTTAAGGATGAAACTTCCTCTGTTGCGATAGACGGGCAATATAACGTCTAGAGATAATTCCCTGAGAGGCTTCACCACAAATAAAACAGTGTTGCTCCATAAAGAATAAACAACGGAAATAGGCTTTGAAATGATTTCGTTCTGACGTACATCAAGAGAACGAGAAGACTAGAAAAAAATGACTCGTACAAAACTTTGTATAATTGGTTCTGATGAATCAGTGGCATTTCCCATAAATATTCTTGAAGCATGAACTCTCTGGCAAAAGTCGACATGAGCTACGAATACAATTTGCCATGTCTTTCGGTTTACGAGAACAATTTTACTTTCAACAGGAAAACGAACGCGAGCAAAAACGTATTAATAAATCCATACCCTGATAAGTTAACGTTTGTAATTTCCGGCATCATTCCTCAAATATAAACACAACAGTTCCTGGTATTATGAATAATATTGAGGGGAAAAAGCTTTGAAATTTCCACTTGGGTTTGACGTACATAACAAGAATATATATTTTTTGCTGTTAAAGACAGGAAAACAATTATGGATATCTGTGGAAACTTAACATAAGTGATTACTTATGGCAATTCGCTCGCCAGAATCACCATCTCTGCTCAGCTTTCTCAAATCGGCAGTTCCCTATACCTTAAAAGGTGATTACGTATTCGTTTACCAGAACAGATTCATAATTTGTCAGTTCTGAACTTTGGAAGAGGCTAGATAATAGTTTTATGTCAGCATAATGTTTGGGGGAGGTTTTGATGTTTCTTGGAGCCTTTCTCGTCCAGTTGTGACTTAATTGTAAATTCTCTTCAAACTATTGTGCGATTTTTGTGGGATCGCGAGTATTCTGCAGGAAAATGTTGTATGCTCTTTTGTTTCATTTGTCAATAAATAAAAGCTACCGTTTCATTAATTCAAAACGGCAGAAGTAATAACGTCTTTGCCGGGATGGTAAAAATGATGACAAAAATTGATTTGAGGACAAAGAGTCAAAACGAGCAGCTAAAATGTATTTCACTTTTTGACCCTGCTATCGATGCGTAGTGGTGATAAATACCTAAGTTCTCTCTACGTTAACATAACATTTTCGAGCAGATGATTTACCAGAATGCGCGACCTGGTCGACCCAGAGGAAATTTTTGCCCTCTTATTAAGAATTGTACGAAATGAAGGTAAAACAGTCAGGATAATTTTGATGGGCTCTTGGAAGAAGGCCAGTAGAATCAGCAATTTTAGCCTTCTTACGTTTGTCGAAGAAAAACGCACCCGTGGGCGAAATAATATGCGTTTACATTAAGCCCGATTGCCTTTGTCGCAAAACACATCTCTTTTATGCAATATCATAGAACGTAGTACTTCGCCGGGAATCCATCGGAAGTAAAGCGTTTTCTTCAATTTCGCTGAATATGAGCAACTCAGGAAGACGGCGGTATAGCTCGCTCGCTACCGCAAATTTATAAAAAATTAAATTCAAGTTTTTGCGTGGGAAGAGCAATGGGATTCGCAGCATTGTAAAATTAAAAATAAATCAATTAAAAAAGAGCCATAGGACTGCGCTCTTTCGAATGCGGCATGTTGCAAACTGAAAATTGTAAAATCGCTCGTCGTGTTCATAATTGATTTGTTATGCTTTTTTCCTGGCTTCCCGTGTAGCTGGCGTTGTTGCAGCTCATTAAAGCTTTATATTATAGATTGTCACTATCTAAACAAATCAGTGTGTGATCTCAATCTCCTCCTTGTCCTTTTCGTAGAAGTATACCATGTATCATTAGCATAGTGTTTCGAGAAAAATAAGTCAGCAATGTTTACACCAAAATTAAACAACTTGATCATCAAAGGCAAATATGGCATTGAATAACTAGCTTTGCCCATAACACGATATACAGAAATGTTAAATTCTATTGTTCCTGTTCAAAAATTCTCGAAAGATAATAGCAAAGCATATTGAAAACAGCCTTTAGGTTTTTACCTCGAATCTTCCTATTTCAATATGCACAAGCAGTGAAAACTTGGTCGTCAATTTTGTTCATGTTAGAAAATCCTTAGATTAAAGTATTTCGTTACTCCACTATACCATTTCAGAAATTCTTTTAAATCAGGCCGTTTAATACCACCTAAGGGAGTGTATTTTAATAAGATTCTAAAAGTCTTCTTAACACAGATGCACTCGCAAGTCTTAAAGTGAAATGAGATAAGGAGGCATCCAAAGGGATCTTTGTGACCAAAAATTCTTCGAAACGTCAGGACAACGATTTTTTATGTGCTCACCTATGTTTTCAGTGGTTAAAGTTTCCTCTCGGCCGTTGGACAACCTGTGAATAACTCTGACACACCTGAAGAATAGAATATTCAAGAATATAAATAAAGATCACTTTCAAATGATCATTTACCATTCATTTAATAGCACAAGTTACCAAATCACATTAATAATATAAATAACCTGAAGATATTTTTCCAACCCGCGATAATTCTTCTGATAATACTTGCAACGACCAGTATAAGCAATGACTGATTGAAAAAACAAAGTTCCTCACAAAAAGCTGCAATTTGCAATAGCAAAAAGAACGATCCAAAGGCACTTTTTTAAAACAGCGATGTCTGGAATTTTGAGGACACTGATAGTTTTGTATTCACCCTGATGCATTTAGAAGTGAAAGATCTCTCTCCGTTTTATAAACAATAAGAATTTGCACACACCTGAAGAACAAAATTTTCAGGAATCGAGGAAAGAAAACTTTAAAAAAATTGCTTATTATATCCCTTTTCACACAGCTGCTGCAGTTTGAGATTCTCAGCAGGGAGTGTTTTTCTGAAACTTTAATTGCAAGACTACAATGCTAATCACACATCGTTTTGCAATATTTCGGATAATACCGGCAAAATAAAACATTTTCCGAAAGCTGAATCACTAACTGGAAGTAAATCTTGCTAAAATATATATTTTTCATTTTTCAAACAATCGTCTTTAAGCCAAAGTATTATCCTCGTTGAAGATAACCACCCAGCCACCTCTGAGTTATTCTTGTAACCGACAAAAGTCGCTTATCGTAGCCACAAACTGCAACGCCAAGTAGACATCAATAATCAAACTAAATTGACAAGACTTCATGGACTGCCAATGGTCTTAAATAAATCATGTCAAAGTCAGTAAATACTTCGAAACAGAAAGAAAAAACGACGAAAATTAATCAATCTTGACTGCACTTTTGACAAGCGCGCTGCTTTTTAGCCCAATTTCGTTTAAGGTAAATAACATCTAGAGGTGAATTTTCACATTTTTAAAATCTTCGCGACAGGCAGATAGTGAAAACTCCTTTCGTCAACTGCTTTTAATGCCATTCATGCAGATTTCGTTTACAGCTGGCGTATCGCGGCAGTTTTAAACTTTTCTCATAATTTTACTTATTTTCTAGCAATCACGACAAATCTTTATTATTTAAATCTGGTATTAATGAGACATAGCTGGAGAAAAATAGGTCACCTATGCTAAATTTAACCCAGTCGGTGGAGACTGTCCCTATTCTTTTTGTTCTGTTTAATATTCGTCACCAGGTTCATGAAAGCTATTTACATCCTTTAATGGTCAAATTTCCCTTCCGAGTTATTTGTTTGCATGCATTGAAAGATGAGCCTTACGTTTTAGACATTTAAAAAGAACGGCTGATTACTCAAGCAGTTATCGCTTCGTTTCAGTCTTTGAAGCTATCGTGTTTCGTTTCGCGAGATTATCACAAAAGAACTTGCACACAGAAACGACTGCGAAAAAAGCAAAGAATAAAATAGACCTTTTACGGACATAAACATTTCTCTCTTAGGTCAACACGTTCCTTTTCTCGTCCTTTCTCTTTACTTTGTGTCAACCTCCATCAGATCTTTGAATTTAAATTCGAGAACTTGTGTTAAAGTTACCTGAAACGGATCGTTGTGTAATGCCTTGCTTGCCTTGTTACTCAGTAGTTACCGCCAACAGCATAAGCAACAATTGACTTAGAAAGCAGGAGCCAACGTTAATTGCCCAAAACATTCGCATGATTACCTCAACCTATATTGGTTCTCCTTAACTTCGTTCACTTAGGACAAAATAGCCAAACAATTATGAATTATTTATCTTCTCGCGCAGATGACATTCAGCAATCAAAGAAAGCTGGGTGACAGTTGGTCATGTTTGAATAAAAGAGGAGTCCTTATTTTCCACGCAGTCTTGATATGTCATAATTCCAAAAAGAATGTTTTCAACCAAAGAAACAATCAATCTTAGATTTTTCACCTGAATGTAAGTAACTTTGTACTATCAGTGGGTATTAAATATTGTACTGATAAATCATTAGACTTGAAACTCATATTTATTTGACAGCAAATAAACCGTTTGACAAGCACTCAAAAGAATGGGGCTAATGTATCTCTAGCAAGAGCTACCAGGCTTTAAAGATAACGACATGAAACACTAGCAGGTTTTTGAAACAACTTCTTAGGCGGAGCTAATCCAAGTGGTAAACGAAGAAATTAAATGGTACATGTAAATGGCCAATTCCCCCTATGAGAAGTGCCTGCAGGGAATCTTGGTAGGTTGTATTGATCAACTTGGATTGGGTATTTGCTTTGATGAACACAACTACCATGATTCCCTGCAAGCACGTCTCATAGAGAGAATTGGCCATTATGCCAGCCTGAATCAAATATAAAAATCCATGTCCCGGTAATGACTTCCTTTGCTTTGAAGCTTAATATTTTTTTTTACCGCTTTTGAGACGCATTTATCTCTCAAATTGTCTCAAATGAATTGACAGCTCTGATCGTAACCGTTTTTGGCACTTAACCAAGTTTTATATTGCGTTAGCAAGTGCCAAACCAGACAGAGAGGGTTTGGCGCGGTGGTTAAGAAAATGGCATGTTGTAGTTAAGCAGAGAATTATCGTTGTAGTTAAAAAATAAAACTTTCTGAGACATAATAAGCCTTGCAGTTAGACAGAATCAGTGCTGCGGTTAGGCAGAGAATTGCACTGCAGATAGGCAGACAATTTCACTGTAGAGAAGCAGAGAGAGATGTCGTGCTGCGGTTGGATAGAGAATAGCCCTTTTTGGCGGTTAATTCCCTTTGCATTGCAAAAGAATCCAACATGAATGTGAGGCAATTTTGTAGTTTTTGCCCCAAATTACCTCGCATTAACAGCGTAGACACGGAATGGGATAATGTAGGGACTGGACCGGTGGACTCTTGAACTGATAGACTAATTTTGGACCCTTTGCTGGACCAATGTTTGGAGTGTGTCTATTAAAGCAAACGTTTTGTTGAGCCTCCGCTATAAAGTCTGGTGGTTTCTTGGAGGTCTCCTCGCCCTATGATATCGAAATTGTTTTTTATTGTGTTATTTCTTATAAGTTTTATTCACCACGCCAATCTTGAAATAGAGGAATCAAGACCAGCTTGTATCCCTTGCAAGGAGCAACCTTTACTGTCAGGTTTATTTTACACCGTTCGCGTTAGTCGAAAGCTCGTCGATGCTCTGAGAATTTAGAAAATGAAAATGGCTGGTTGGATTTTCATTCCAGTTTCTTTTTTTTTTTTCATTTTCCTCCAATCAAATATTTTGAATTTTTTAAAACATTTTTAATTAGCGTGCGTTAAGTTTGGTTTTATTGTTTCGAGACAGGTAAACGATAAATTATCCATTCTTTTTTTTTTTGGTTAAGCGAATTTGTCATTGTCTTTCCTAATAGCTTATCAATGGGGAGTACCATATTACAATTTTTACTTCATCTATTTAGGCTCACAAAGAAACGCACACAAAAAATGGGCTGAAAACAACAAGTTAAGCTTACATATCCAGAGAAATATTATTTTGACAATCAAACAGTGGCCACCGAAAAGCGATTAGTGTCAATTATAAAACTTTGTACCAACCAAAAAAAAAGCACAGTTGGCATTGTAATTTACAGACGGAACGCCGTACATCCTTTTATCTCAGCACAACTATTTTCAAACAATATGAAAAAGTTGCGGCCACCGTGCCCCATCGATTTGGTTGAAATTTGGCATGCAGTCTTGTTGGGTGGATGCTAGAAAGTTCCAATTCTTTTTACTTTCGAAAATGTCGAGAGGGTCGAGTGACCTTGGCGGCCCGCCAATATGGCCGATCAAAGGAGTTCTTCTGATTTAAGTGCCGAACCTATCATTAGTTTCTCGATACCTTTTTTTACTAGTATAAAAAACGATCCTTCTCTGTTGTATTTGTCAAAATAAATTCGGAAAATGTTACGGTTTGAACGGCCAACGGGCAGATAATTTTCGTCGCTTCAAAGAGTCACAAATTGTATTCAAATTATGAGGCTGACATCCAATTTTATTACGATTAAGAAGTAGCCATTTAACCTGAACGCAGCTTACTTACAGATGAATCGATCCATTAATAATTATTTTAAGGAAGTTTCAGCAGCATAGGTTAAAAAAAATAGTATTAGTGGTAGTTTAGTCATTTCTGCGGACCAGCTCGTTAAGCAAATATTCAATAAATTTAATAAAAGGACAACGCGTTTTAGTTTTAAATATGTGTTTCCACAGTAACTTCTGTCATCGTCACTAACAACTAGAGTGAATTTGAATATACAAGTTAACATACAAGTTTTTCAATACAGAAATTTTACAATACAGAAAAACCGTGCTGAAAAATTAAAATGAAAGAGACAAATTAGCATGAATTTGCTGATTTAAAGCAGGCTCCTGCCAATTGATTGACGTAGCTTCTTTAATTTTTGCCTGAAACTTTGTGACGCAGAGTCCAAAATGGTGAAAGACTCCGCAGAACAAGAGTTATACATTCCTCTGAAGCCTGTAGATGTTTGAAAACGTCAGAGCTTTTGTCTGAACAGAAGCGTTCACGTACGCGCATGGAAAAATGA